TCTTTTTTTTTTTTTTTTAAACAAACAACAACAAAACCATTCCTTATCTTTTAAAAAACTTTGCAGGCTTGCCTATTATTATTTTATATGTGTTTTGCCTGTATGTATGTATGCGTACCACATTTGTGGCTGGTGCTGGAGGAAGCCAGAGGAGGATACCGGACCGACGGGAACTGGAGTTAGACATGGGTACTAGGAATGAAACTCAGGTCTTCAGCAAGAGCAGCAAGTTTTCTTAACTATTAAGCCATCCATCTTCGGTGTTCTAAGAAATCTGTCTCTAGAGAGTGAGATTTCCTGAAATTCTGGTTAATTCCAAATCCCAATATAGAACTGGCACATTTATGCATAAAGCATTTGCTATTTGTAGCACCCATGATATTGAGTGTGTAAAATGAAATTGGGGTAGGCGTACAGCTTGGCAGTACTGTACTAGCCTAGTGTGTGCAAGGCCCTGGGTTCAGTCCACAGTCCTAGGGATCAAAACAAAGCACAGCTAAGCAGATGGCAATGTTTCTGAGAGAACAGACTGTGTCTCTCAACAACACAGTGCATTACCTTATACAGCAAAACTAGTATTTGGCATGTCTACTACAGGTACTATATAATATCAACTAATAAACTTTGGCTCATAGCCTGGTGTGGTGGCAGATGCCTTTGATTCCAGCACTAGAGAGGAAGAAGCAGGTGGATCTCTGTGAGTCTGAAGCCAGCCTGGTCTACAAAAAGCGAGTACCAGAACAGCCAGAGTACACAAAGAAACCCTGTCTCAATAAATAAATAAATAAACAAACAAACAAATAAATAAATACTTGCTCGAGCAGTCTTCACCCTTAGAAGACTGCAGTAGGATGAGTTCGGGGTTGGGGTAAAGTCAACAGAAAAAAGACCTCCCTTATGGAGGGCTACACCAGCTTTCACTATGCACCAGGCCTATAGATCTCCTCAAGGATCCTTTACCTTAGTGAATAAATATATACATCAAACACTTAATTTGCTAACTGTGTTATATCATAATAAGAAATTCTATCTACAATCCTATATAACCGCACAAGTGAGAAAAAGGTTCCAACCTTTCTTAGAGCTTGAGACATGTGTAAGCCAATATCATCTGTTATACAGATATTATCAGTACATAGTCATTTCTTTTATTTTGTTTTATAAAACAAAACAAAAAGTAATTCGACAACAACTATAAACACATTATATTTTAATTAAAAACAACAACAATAAAACCTAGCCACCTCTAGGTCTGATGACTACAAACCCAATGAGTGTTCTATGAAACACACATTCCCTGCCCTTCTCTTTTCCTCGTTGGCAGTATTAGAGGGCAAATGCTTGCTCACTAAACTGTATGCCAAGCCTGCTGCTGTGCCTTCTGAAGATAAACACGGTGCTGGTATACTGGCTATTTTATTTTTTTTTATTCTGCAGGACTAGAGATCAAACCTAGGGCTGTGTACATGCTAGGCCAGCACTCTACCCCTGCGCTACTTCTCCAGCCATGATTTTAAGCCTTTACTCATTCTAACTTTAGACTGTGCCATAAATCTTCACCAGAGGAAAGACTTAAAAATACTATGAGGGAGCTGGAGAGACGGCTCAGTGGCTAACAGCACTCGAGGCTCTGCCAAGTCCAGTCCTCAGCTCCCACATTAGCTGGAGCTGAGACTCACAATCACAGGTAACCCTAGCTCCAGAGAATTTGGTCCCATCATTTGCCTGTACATACATGTCTGCACACACATACATATACATGTAAATAAAAATAAAAAACGGCTGGCCAATGGTGATGCACACCTTTAATCCCAGCACTTGGGCAGCAGAAGCAGGCAGATCTCTACAGAGTGAGTTCCAGGACAGCTAGGACTACACAGAGACACCATCTCAAAAAAAACCAAAAATGATTAAATAAATAGAAATAAAGAACAAATCTAAAAAAAACAAAAAACAAAAAAACACTTCCTATGCAAGCCCCATAACCTGAATTTGACCCCGAGACCCACGGTGGAAGAAAAGAACTAACTCCCAAAACTTACCCTCTGATCCCTACACGTGTGCTGTGGCAAAAACATGCTTACTCACACGTATACAACATTTCTAATCCACATACAACAATAAATAAATCATTAAATAAAAATACTATAATGCTGTTTAAAGTTTATCTACTTTTTAGGAGACTGAAAATGTAGTCATTTATGCTGCTGTATAAGGTATTCAAACCACGGTCCCAAGCACTAGCCACGTGTTTTTCCTGCAGTAGGTGTAGAAGTGGGGCCCCATGCACACTAGTCAAACGCTCTACCAACTGAGCTACCAACTTACTCCCTCCCCCTCCACTCTAAAGATCAACACCATGTCTTTTCTATAGGGCTGAGGCTACAGTTCTGTGGTAAGACATTGCCTATAATTTGCAAGGCCCTGGAGACAATCCTCAGTACCACAAAACCAAAACCAAAAAGTAATCTTCTATAGAATATCCAAACTATTTTCTAGGTGACATGGTCCCAGGTACACACTCCCTCTAGTCAAGTGTTCTTTTTATTTTCTGGGTGCTATAGATTAGGTGAACTTGCAAATGTTAAACTTACTTAGTTACATTTAATCCAAATTTTACTTCAAGAAATTTCAGCACATGCTCATTTTCTTTGTGTGGGACAAACATCTAGAAGAGAAAGAATCAGGCAATCAGGCACCATGGCCAAATTGTGAGGCATCATTCTCACAGAAAACAAACAAACATTATCTAAACAAAGAATATTCTCTATGCCTAGTGCCTATGCTTTTTCTATCTTTTTTTGCCTCTGCCTCCCGAGTGCTGGGATTAAAGACATCACCACTGTCCAGCTCTGTCTATGCGTTTAACAATATACTTATTTCCAATTACTAATGATAGAAAATACAGCCAGATTAAAAGAACAGTGAATTAAATAACACAGAATATGCGCTATGAATACATTTGTTGGATGCTTAGACAAAAAATGAAATGGCATTTTGAGAGTATAAAAATTTCAAACTAGGAGAACTGATTCAAATAATCCCTGCTCCAGAAGACATTTTTCTTGGTTTGTTTGGTTTCTGACACCATCTGATGTAGAGGACACTAGCCTCAAACTCACTGTGTCGCAGAAGATAATTCTGCATGCACTCTAAGCCTTTGTTAGAATGTCGTCATTCTCATTAACGCTGGCACAATGTATTTCTCTATCAGACTGATGTAGATGTGAATCTCGGTTCTCACCTTCATTATCAAGTTCAGGGTCAGCGGCAGAGTGCACACCAGGTAAAACTTCACCACTTTGACCACTTTAGCCACAAAAGTTCCCTTTTTCCCATTCAGCTACAAAGAGAAAAACAAAGTCACACCAACAAAGGTGTGAGTTATAAAAATTAACAATTTAAAATAATAAGACTACTTTTTAAAAACAGCAGTGTTAATTACCTGAAGGCACTTAATAAGCATTAACGCTCCTACTAAACTTAATAAAGGAGACACCAATAAAGCTGGATTCTCAAACTGTAGTAAATACCCCAAGAAGAGAGAAAATATGTAGATTTTATAGACTTCATAAACCTGTTGAAACAAAAATAAAATAAATGAAAATAAAGTGAATTTTAAAAATAGTAATTATAAGCAAATGCTCTGCTATAATTTAGGACAGCATTAGGAAATGTTCCATCTGTATTTTTACTGTTATAGTGTATAATGGACTTAGCAGTCTCTTCTCAGCATTCTATGGAAATGAAGAGCTCTGAAGTCCTAAGTGAAAGCTCCAGCACCTTGCTTACTTTAGTTTCGGGTGGCTTTCTGTGATCAAGTCAGTTTCGTGTGGGTGCGGTACAACACAGTCAGCAAACCCGGCCTCAGACGGCTGGCACAGGATCATGAGTAAAGCCAGCATGGACTACTCGGCAAGAGCTTGTCTCAAAAAATAAAAAAAGGTGTCAAGTGGTGGTGCACACCTTTAATCACAGCACTTGGGAGGCAGAGGTAGACAGATCTCTGTGAGTTCGAGGCCAGCCTGGTCTAAAGCGAGTTTCAGGACAGCCAAGGCTACAAAGAGAAACCCTGCCTGGAAAAAAAACAAAACAAAAAAAGATGACTTTAAAAGAAAAAATCTGAAAAGGGAGATTTCCCTGTAACAAGTCATGACATCCTTGGAGAACACCGGGTACGCCTGGGAGAGTGTGTGCCCATCTTGTGGCGTTGGTAATGTGGGGTTCTTGATGTGGCTAACTCCAAACAAGTGCGCAGGTACAGAGGAACTCAGCTCCCGGTCCACTTCCCCTCCTGTCTACAGTCCTCTGTTCCGGATGAGGCTCTGGCAACAGGAGAGCTTCAGGGGAAGTGGAAGCTGGAGGACAAAGAGGTTTGCTCTCTTGCTGGCTTGCCCTTCTTCCAACCCTCCCCAAAAGACTGTCAGTTCTTGACCCCAACACAACAGTTCCTTCCTGCTGAAGCTCAGAATGCAGATGGAATGTTCCCAACCCTTAACATGCAGCTCCATCTGCCCTGCTTCCAGGGGTTGCTCCTTCCATAGCACTTTCGGCCCCTGCCATCATCACCCTTCCTACTGAGCAATTAAGACGACAACTTGACTCTTGACTAATGACTGTGTGGAGAGTGGTAGGTTTTGAGGGTTTTAGTGTTACAACTAAACTAAGGGCCTTTGCATGCTCTGCCACTGACCTAGGTGCATGGTTTTGGTTACTAAATCTTTACATTAGGTTATCTCTGTACAAATAATTTAAATCTTGATGCTCATCAGAGTTCTGAAGAGCTGAGAATAAGGGATGGAGATACATAAAAGACAATGTTCTAAGAACATTAGTTTTGGCATATAAATTCCTCATTTCAACATGTCATAGTACCTTGTCACTTTGTTCCTCGGAGAACAGGTCCAGCAGCAGCAGAGACACTGCTTGCAGGAACAAGACGTAGTGGCTGTACTCCCACACCATCATGAACGTGTACGTCGAGGCACTCATCAACAGGTAGCAAAACCGCTGGAGAAAGAGTCAGCCGAGATCAGTACCTTGACTACAGCAAACCCAAGGAGCTCAGCACTCAGAGCTACTGTTAAAGTCACAAACCCAGCACGATGTGGTGGTGCATGTCTTAGTACAGCACTTGGGAAGTAGAGGCAGGTGGATATCTACAAGTTCAAGACCAGCCTGGTCTACATAGTAAGTTTAGGAGAGACTATGGAGAGAGTCTCTGGTGTGTGTGTGTGTGTGTGTGTGTGTGTGTGTGTATGTGTGTGTGTGTGTGTGTGTCAAAACCAACAGTACCTTATCAAAACACAGAGAAATCAGCACCCGTCTTTCCATATTATATTACAAAGGCCTAGGACAAAAGGGGGTGGAGTTTGAGCACAATTTTTTTTTCATGCCAAGAGAGGAAGCAAAACTAAAAGAAATTAGTGGAGTGGATGTTAAGCTTTTGTTAATATGGAAGCTTCTTTTGTCCTAAAATAGTATTTTTATTTCCGTCCATGCTGATTTTATTTTCCTAAAAACGATCAGTTCAGGGATGCCTGGTCAAGGCTCTGCTCCTAACCAGGTTTGGCCTGTTCTCCTCCAATGCTGTACTCATCAACCATGCAGAACTGGATGCTACTTCTCTTTACTTAATACATACTGCTGACCTTTTATACCTTGAATGTTTCATTTTCATGAAAAACATGAACATATTTCAGCTCTGTAAGAGCTATTTCCCATAGTTCAGTGCTTCCTTCTGGTGCTAGGGATCACACACAAGGCCTCAGCCCTCAAGTATTCTACCATGGAGCTGTATCTGCAGCACAGGTCTTTAAATTTTAAACATGAGTTCTTAGTGTGGAAAAACGAACTGCCAAAGCTGCTTTTATGATATTTATTTTGAACTAAAATAAACTATTGCCTAAAAAAATTAATAACTTTTTTAGTAAAAAATTTTAGTAACCGTTTTTTATTATTGTGTATGAGAGGTGCACACCTGTAGAGGCCAAAGCACAACTCTGTGGTGTCTGTCTTTCCTTCTCCCTGTTGGGTCCTGGGCACCAAACTCGGGCTGTTAGGCTGGCAGCCTCTGAGCAGAGCCATGCTGCACACACAGGCTGGCTTAGGACTTCGAGCCTAGGATGGTCTTGAACTTGGTGCTGCTCCAGCTGTCTGTGTGCTGCCGCACTACAGGTGTGTACCTTCATGTCCATCTCATCTCACTTTTAGGGGATTATTTTTGTTTTATCCTTCTGACAGGGTTGGCTTTGAACCCATCATGTCATTAAGAATATCCTGAACCCCTACTTTCCACCTCCCAAGGACTGGGGTCAAAGGTGTGGGTTACAACACCTAGCTATGCTCTTATAAAATAGTTTTGTAAACTTTACCCTATCTATTTATTTATTTGATTTATTACAGAGTGTTCGGCCTGCATGTATCCCTGCAGGCCAGAAGAGGGCGCCAGATCTCATTACAGATGGTTGTGAGCCACCATGTGGTTGCTGGGAACTGAACTCAGGACCTCTGGAAGAGCAGTCAGTGCTCTTAAGCCCTGAGCCATTTCTCCAGCCCCCAACTTTACCCCATTTATACCATATTGTTATTCTTACAAAATGTTTTTTCATTGCAATGTTTCATGCTATGCTGCACTTATTATTTTTAAGTTTGTTTTTTTTTTGTTTTGTTTTGTTTTGTTTTTTTTAGAGAGGGTCTCTTTACTATGTAGCTCTGGCTGTCCTGGAACTCACTATGTAAACCGGGCTGGCCTGAAACTCACAGAGATCCTTCTGCCTCTGCTTCCTGAGTGCTGGGATTAAAGACATGCATCACCATACCTGACTTATTAAGTTTTGTAAAGTGAAATATATACATATTATACATGGTCAAAAATGATCCTATCTGTACCAGGCTTTTTGTTTTGGGGCCACCAACCAGCTCCCAAATTATGACAGGGAGACTTCTTACTAGTTATGAATGCTTGGCAGAGGTTAGCTCGTTCTAGCTCTTTTAACTTAACTTAACCTGTTTCTCTTTATCTACCTTTTGCCTCAGGGCTTTTTACCGGTCTGACTTTCCTTCTGTAGATCTTACTTCCACTGCTTCTTCTGTCTGCCTGGCTTCTGGCCCTGGTGTCTCCCTCATTCTCTCCTCCTCCTTTTTCCACTCCTCCTATTTATTCTCTCTGGCCGGCAGCCACACCTATCCCTCTCCTGCCTAGCTATTGGCTGTTCAGCTTTTTATTAGACCAGCTGCCGTACATAGGCAGGCAAGTGAAACAGCAATACACCATTACATAATTAAACACACATCCTTACACCGTTAAACAAATGCAGCATAAACAAATGTAACACATCTTTGCCCAATTAAAATAACATTCCACAACCCCTATTACTGCAAACGGATCTACAGTAAGAAAACTATAACCCTTCTGTTTCCTATTGTGTCCACTTCTTATTAGCGTAAAGTACAAATGGAGCTTTAAAACAGAGGAAGAATCCAGTAATTCCTCCCATTGATTTTTGGGTGGTGAAGGTGCTTGCACAAGCTATCGACCATGAAGCCACACCCTGCCCTCATTCCTGCCCTGTATTCCAGCCAGCCAGCTTTATTAGTAGACGATGTTTGGTCTCTCTGGTCTCTTCCTAGACAGGAATTTTTTTTTTTATTAAGGAATATTTTTATTCACTTTACATACCAATCACAGCTCACCCTCGCCTCCCACCCCTCCCACCTTCCCCAAATTCCCTCCTCCAACAAGGCAAGGTCTCCCATGAGAAGTCCGCAGAGCCATACACAGGAATTTTGTATCTAAGACAGGCAGGCAAACTGCCAAAGGGCTGCTGTGTTCCAGTCAACTTCGAGATAATTACCGGTCTTTGCAGACATGCATCTTCCTAAAGTCATTCTGTGGCACAGTCTATAGGCATCATTCAACTGCCAATAGCGTTGTGACAATAACAGTAACAAAAAATTAAGAGTCTAGATGATCTGGGATGGATGTTTCCTTCAACTTTGACTAAGCTACTACATCTCAGTCAGGGAAGACACGAGAGGACAAAAGAATATGCCCCACTGCCATCAAGAGTTACACCACTGCCATCCTCCGTCACCGCTGTGTCTTCAGCAGTATTTCCTTAGGTTCTGAGGACTAAAGGGCATAAATGTTCCTGAAGTAAGAGAAATGGCAAAAACAATACTCGATAGATTAACTTCCAAAGTGAGATATTCCTCACGTAATTGTCAAGTAACCATACTAAAAGCAATATAACGTCTATTTTCCTAAAAATAATTAGATGCCAGCAGATTACAGAAAAAAAACACGATATAACAACTACCTAACAACATGTTACATTGTAACATGCTTCACTGAATGTAAGTAAACTCCTAATATGACTTACTTTAAAATTATGTACCACAGCCCAGCATGGTTGTCAACAACTATAATCCTACATGGAGGCAGGTGGATTAAGTGCTCAAGGCCTAGCCTCAGCTACATAATGAGTTTGAAGCCAGACTGGACTACAGGAGATTTTTGTCTCAAAACAAACAAAACATGTACCACATTTGCAAAGCATCAGAACTAGCCGAGCATCAGAATTAGCTGTGATGTATAAAACAGATCTGTGTCTTACCTCTGCATAAGTATTTAAGTTTCTTTTTAAATAGCCTGTAAGTGCAGCAACTTGGCATGCAAAGTATGGTAGAGCCCAGTTTTCTCTTAAAGGAATGGAGTATTCAATTCTTGTTGTATCTACCCTAAAATAAACCAGAGGAACACCAAAAGTGAGCATACACTCGTGTAGCATTACATTTCTTTCTTTACCTTATCTTCTTAATGTATTATTATTTTATGCATATGGGTACTTTGCCTTCATGTACATCTGTGCACCACATGCATGCCCGGTGCCCTCGAATGGCAGAGGAGGGCATCAGATTCCGGACTGGAGCTACAGACAGTTGTGAGTTACTATTCAGGTGCTGGGGATCAACCTAGGTCCTCTGAAGAGTAGCTAGTGCTCTTTTCTTTTTCTTTCTTTCTTTCTTTCTTTTTTTTTTTTTTTACAAGATTTATTTATTTATTATGTATACAGTGTTCTGCCTGCATGTATGCCTGCAGGCCAGAAGAGGACACCAGATCTCATTATGTTGTGAGCCAACATGTGGTTACTGGGAAATGAACTCGACCTCTTTAACAGCAGCCAGTGCTCTTACCTCTGAGGCATCTCACCAGCCCAACAGCGAGTGCTCTTAACTGATGAGCCATGGATTCACAGCATCAGTCCCACTATTTGGGAGGCAGAGGCTGGAGGATGGCTGCAAGCTTGGAGATAGCCTGGTCTACATATCAAGTTCCATGCTAGCCAAAAAATGTATCAAGACCCTGTCTCAAAAGTATTAAAAACAGGGAAATGAAAAAGTGACAGAAATCAGAATAATTAGTTCCATGTTTGTGAAACTGTAATCTGCTTTTAGTTATCTAATCTATAAGAGTATAAAATAGTCAAAATTCAGGAGCAATGAGTGAGAGGCTCAGTGAGCAAAGGTGCTTCCAACCAACAACCCGAGACCCACCGTAAAGGGAGACCTGCTCCTGAAAGGCCACCTCTCACTTACACACATGCACGTAACCAATCAACCAATACAACGTAAATGACAAATATTTAAAGTTCAGTGAACTGGACACTTAAAATCCCTCTATTTTGTTTTTACTTATTTTTTCAAAAATACCAAGAAAAAAATAATGATATTATGTCTTAGTGGGTTTGTGTTCCTATAACAGAATACCACAGACTTTGCAAATTATAAACCAAAAAAAAAAAAAAAAAAAAAAAGTATCGCTCACAGTTCGAAAAGCTAGAAAATCCAAGACCAAGGAAGGTAGAGGGGATCTAGTGTCCAGTGAGGACAGATTCCCCACAGATGGAACCTTCTAGCTCTTTCCTCACTACTGCAGAGGAACAATATACCTTGATTCAACCAACACATTTTTTCCGACAATCTGTGCTGGGGATTGAAGCCAGGGCCATGTGCATGCTAGGCAATCCCTTTCCCACTTAGCTCCATCCCAGTGCCCATCCACTATTTTTCTAGGGGCAGTAATCCCAGCCATAAAGACCCCATCCCTCAACAGTACCCCATGTGCAGTCGTTCCGATGTATGAACCTAGGGACACACGTCCAAAGCACAGCAGAACAAATGTCAATTCTAACAATCCTGGGCTGGGTAAAGATTTCTTAATATACGATACAAAAACATGAGAGAAAGAAAGAAAAAATAAAACCCAACTCACTGGACTGGATCAAAATTTAAAACTTTCAGGGCTGGAGAGATGGTTCAGCAGTTAAGTGCACTGGCTGCTCTTGCAGAGAGGATCCAGGTTCAATTCCCAGCACCCTCACGGCAGCTCACAACTGTCTGTAACTCTAGTTCCAGGGGATCTGACACCCTTACAAAGACATACATGCAGGCCAAACACCAAATGCACATAAAAATAAAAAAAAATTTAAACTTTCAGTTTTCATTATTAAGAAAGTACGTGGCTGGGCATGGTGACTCATGCGTTTAATTCTAGCACTCAGGAGGCTCGGGCAGGTGGATCTCTGTGAGCTTGAGAACAAGCTCGAGAAACGGAGAAAACATAATCTGCAAGTGTCACCCTTTATCATTTAAGGATAGGAACACATTCTGGGAACTTCCTGGTTAGTCATTTCAGGGTGTACAACTACCACCATATGTCCTCTCCAGTACTGGTTACAGTGTTGCTACGCCATGCAACCAGGTGCTGCTACATTGCTATGCCACGCATAGGTGTATATAAAAAAAAAAAAAAAAAAAAAAAAAAAACTGTTACAACTCCATAATCAGAAAGTAACCAATGTCACA